TGGAGAGAGAGGTGTGAAAACCCAGTGAAATGCATTTTGTGTTTGGGGATCACTGGACGTTTTCTTCTGGTGCTTTCTTGGAGTAAATTCTTGCAAGTCTTGGAGTAAATTCTTGCAAGTAGGAGTAAGTTATTTCAAGGAGTGTGCTGCTTGTAGAGACCAAGGCAGGTTCAGAGCTGAGCTCCTGACAGTTCTCTTGAATTTTGGGGCACAAAAGCTCAGCTGAAACATTCTTTGTCTGCCTTGCATAACTGATGAGGTGCAGTGATTGCATTTCTTGTGTTTGCTGGGCTGCATTCTCCCTGAGTTTCCAGGAGCCTTCCCAGAGGACAGGGATGAAGGATGAAGGCTTTTCTTGGCTCCTGGCAATCTGGGGAGTGTTTATTCATCCTGTCAGTCACAGCTGATGCTCAAGGCCTTTGGACCCCCTGGCTGGGTGCAGATTCCTTCTGTTTCTCCCTTGGCATCAACTATTTTTGAGCTTCTGGAGCTGTAAATGTCTAAATTTGGGGTTGTGTGAGCTGTTCCTGTTGTGTGCATTGGAGGGGCTCTGATTCATTGCCTTCACCTTGGCTGTGTTCTGCCAGCCCGAGCTGGAGCTGACAGAGCTCAGCGGGTTGGAGAAGGAATGTGTTAGATAAGAGAAAACAAACAACCTTGGAAAGCAGAGCCAAGGAATCCCAACTCCTTCTTCTGTCTTGGGGCTGGGGAAAAGAGACTTTCTAACACCTCAGGGTCATCTGGACCAAGAGATCTGACAGATCCTTGAGTCCTGAGCTTTTACAATTCCTGCTTTCCTCATCTGCTCCGGGTTCTTCCCGCAGCACCCTGTCACCCACCCAGATTTCTCTTTCAGCACGAGATTGTAACTTGCTTGGTTTTTAATTAAAGTTGTCCATTCTCTGATTTAATGGCTCCATAAAGCATCCCGGCTTACCCTGCCTCAGGTAAATGAAAATATTTGCTGTGGTAAATAGGACTATTAGTTTTATGATCCATAGCAATAAAAAGCTTTTATCAAGAATGTCGTCAAAAGAGGCATAAAATTGTGTTCCATGTAAAAATACTGAGGTGTCTGGGAAGTTTTACTGCAGTTCATAAATTCCTGTAGGAAAAGGTGTTCATAGGATCATTTTTTGGTGTGCCCTGTGGTCATTTAAAAATTAAAAGCGCTTGTGAGCAGATCTTGTACAAGGAAAGGATGGGCTCACAAGGTGGACATAATTGGAATGATTCCCTTTTCCCTGCACAGATTCCCTGCATCAGCTTGGCCGTGTCACTTTGTTCAGGAGCAGAATAATCCTGACTGAAACGAAGCAGAGGAGAAACCTCTCTGGGTTCCCTGCCTGTGTTTTTGTGCTGCCACAGCTGCCTGGGCCCCTGATTTCAGCTGGGTGGCCAAGCACACCTTTATTTAGGGATGTCCCTCCCCTGGAGGTGGCTTTGGTGTCGTTGTTTTGGGGTGTTCCTTCCCTGGAGGTGGGTTTGGGCACATCTATCTTTTGGGATTCCTCCCCTGGAGGTGCCTTTGGGCACTCCTTTCTTTATGTTGGGGTGTCCCTCCCCTTTGGGCACACCTTTATTTTGGGATTCCTCCCCCGGAGGTGCTCTGGGCACACCTTTATTTAATTTTGGGGTGCTCTGGGCACACCTTTATTTTATTTTGAGGTGCTCTGGGCACACTTTTATTTATTTTGGGGTTCTCTGGGCACACTTATTTTATTTTGGGTTCCTCTGGGCACACCTTTATTTAATTCTGGGGTGCTCTGGGCACTCCTTTCTTTATTTTGGGATGTCCCTGCCCTGGAGGTGACTTTGGTGTCTTTATTTTGGGATGTCTCTCCCCTTTGGGCACTCCTATATTTTGGGATTCCTCCCCCGGGGGTGCTCTGGGCACACCTTTATTTTATTTGGGGTGCTCTGGGCACACCTTTATTTAATTTTGGGGTGCTCTGGGCACACCTTTATTTTATTCTGGGCACACCTTTATTTTATTTTGGGGTTCTCTGGGCACACCTTTATTTAATTTTGGGGTGCTCTGGGCACACCTTCCCCACTGTTGTGCGCCCGGCTGCCGCCTCTCCAGGATCCGATATTCCCACAGGACTCAGCCATCCCCTCCTCCCGCTCCTGGCAGATTTAGGGAGCGGTTGCCATGGCGACGGGGCAGGAATTGGATCTGCATCCCAGCTGGGATCAATCCCAGCTGCTGCCTCCTCCTCCTCCCGAGCACTCGGCGTATTTTTAATAAAGTGACCGCGCACAGGAGCCTTGTCTTTGTCTCGTTAAGCCTTTGTTGTGCATTAAACCCCGAGGGCTTTCACCATAATCTGCTTCACGCTCACGAGCTCTGCAAATCCCGGCCATTAGATCCAGGAGATGTTTCTTTCCTGATGGTTTTTATTTCTGGAATTGGGTTTAATTGGTGAATCGTTGCTAGAAATGAGCGAAATTAAAGGTACAGCCCGTGAGAATGGAGCAGGGGTTTGGTCACAGCTGAATTCATCCCTGCTGGGCTTTATTTGCCCAGATCTTTTGGATATTTTGATTTTGGGGTTTTCTGATTCTGGGTTTTTTCTGATTCTGGGTTTTTTTATTCTGGGCTTTTTGATTCTGGGTTTTCTCTGGGCTTTGTTGCAGTAAAGCATCGTTACCTGGGTTACCTGTGACAGCATTCCTGCTCCTGGGGACCCCCTCCAAGGCAGACCCCATCCAAATTCCCTCCTGGGCTCAGAGTGGGAGGGAGAGCCCGTGGAAGTGAGTTTAGCTCTTAGAACTGAGTTTAGCCCTTGGAAGTGAGTTTAGCCCTCGGTGGGAGCTGCAGTGTGGACGCATCCCTGGGGATGTGGGTCTGGAGTGACCCCAGTGCTGGAGTGGGCTGAGGCCAGAGGGTTTCAGTCCTTGCTGACCTCCAAGCCCAACCTGGGACCTCTCGGGGTCGGTGCTGGGGGCTGCAAAGGAGCAGTGGTTTTGTGGGAGGGAGGGATGTGAGGGGCTGGACTCCATTTATCTGAGGGAATAGAGCCCCACTAATTGGGTGTATTTAGTGTTCCTAGATGTTCCTTTTGTGGAGCCAGAGCAGTGTGACCACTCATATTCCTGTTCCTGGCGTGTCACCTGTGGAATTTGGGCAGCCACAGGCCCAGTTCCCCATAATTTACTTTATTTACTTTATTTAGTGCCCAGGTACAGCCTCCTGCCTTCAGCTCAGTCTGAGCCCAGCAGGGACACAGCCTCCCTGCCTATTACCAGAACCACGGCTTAATTTGAGCTCATTTCTTTTGTTGAGATGCAAAACTAATTATATTGAACTACAGATGAACAGGAAGTTGCATTAGCAAATTTGTTGTCTTTTTTTTTTTTTTTTTTTTTTAATCAATGGGGAATTATTCAGCATTTTTTGGGGGCTGTGGAACTTTATAACCAGATAAAAGATATGGGGGAGGGCAGAGCTATAAAAAGTGTTATTGTGTGATTATGAAGAGGCCTTTTAATGCAGTTATTATGTGATGCTAAAAAGGCCTTTATTGCTTGAAGTTGGAAGCAGAATACAAATGGGCTTGCAGTGTCTATTAAATGAAGAGTGGAAAAAAATAGTCCCCGTTTCCCTGAACTGCAAAGCAAAAATAACGATTAAACAGCGATTAAAACCAGCCGTGCTGGCTTTGGCAGTGTGATCACAGCCCGAGCTGAGGGCTGGGGGTGGTTTGTGAGATTGCAGGCACAGCCCGTTGTCCTGGGGACCTGCTTGTCCAGGTGACAGTGGCAGCAAATCCCCCTGGAGCTGCTCCTGCAGCCAGGGCTGGGCTCTGCGGAGTGAAACGAGGACAGGCGAGCTGGGAATGTCACAGCCACATTCTCTGGAAAATCCCTGTGCCCAGGATTTCTGCTCCTGGGAAGCTGAGAAGCCTCAGAGAAAAGGAAAACAATATTATCCATGTGCTTCTCCTGTGTTTTGCTGCTTTGCAATGTGGTTGGAGATTGTTTACCCACAGGTGGTTGTTTCATTGGTTTCCTGTGAATTGTTTTGACTTAATGACCAGTCAGGGTCAGGCTGTGTCAGGACTCTGGAAGGAGTCAGGAGTTTTCATTATTATCTTTTCAGCCTTCTGTCTGTACCCTTCCTCTATTCCACAGTATAGTTTTAGTATAGCATTCTTTAATACCATAAAATAATACATTAACCCTCTAAGAACATGGAGTGGGATTCATCATCCCTGATATTCCTGTGTTTGCTACCGAGGGCAGGCAGTGCTCCCTCAGCTGTGGGAGCTGCAGGCTCAGTGCCTGACCCCCAGCCCACGTGTTTCCCCACATTTAAGGAATGTTGCCATTGGCACGCCCAGCCAGGTTTTCATTTCTTGTGCTTGTTTCTCATAACCCCAGGTGTGCTTGGCAGCTGAAGTAATGCCTCTGTGGTCTGGAGGTAAAATTAGCTGCTCTGGGAGAGAGATTTTCAGATTTTCATGCGCTACATGAAAGCACAGAGGGTGTTTTCCAAAGAAAACCTATTTTGGCGTCCTCAAATTCAACTTGACCCGGGCTTGTTAGGCCACAGATCTGCTGTGGAATTAAGCTGTAGCTGGAGGAGAGCCAGAATCCAATTACATTTTCTGCCTAATGGGTCATAATTTATGCAATGAAGAAGGAGGCAGGGATGATGCTGGGGGAAGAGGGCACTGGGCCTGCGTGGGTGTGCACTGGGAGGGGCTGCTGGTAAATGGGAATGGGAAATGGTAAATGGGTGCTGTCCTTTGGTGTTGAAAACTTTTCTCTGGTGTTGAAAACCTTGTTCTGGTGTTTAAAACCATTCTCTCTTGTTTAAAACCTTCTTCTCATGTTTAAAACCTTCCCCTGGTGTTTAAAACCAGCAGTTCAGATCAGAAAATAGGTGTCATCCAATTGTAAATGGAATAAAGGATCCATGGGGATGGTGAGGCTGGCAGAGGTGTTTTGCTGGAGCCCACAGCCCGTGTCTGACTGTCCTCATTCACTTCCAGCCTCTCTCCAAGTGGACATTGTTCCCAGCCAGGGGGAGATCAGCGTTGGAGAATCCAAGTTCTTCTTATGCCAAGGTGCGTGCTGGCCGAAGGGTTCATCGGTTCATCCAAAAATGAGACAGACCCTGCTGGGATGGTATTGCTGCTCTGGGGGCAGTCAGAGCCTCACAGGGGGCTTTGGGGCAGACCCTCAGCTGGGGCGTTTGGGGCATGCAGAGCCTCAGCAGGGGATTTGGGGCAGAGCCTGGGGTTTGGGACATGCAGAGCTGGGCTGTCTCACTGAGCTGTGGGGTCGGTCAGACCCTCAGCAGTAGATTTTGGGTCAGACCCTCAGCAGTGGGGTTTGGGGGTGATGTAGGGCTGGGCTGTCTCACCATGCCATGAGGGGTCAGACCCTCAGCAGGAGGGTTTGGGGCAGCCCCTGGGCTTTGGGGCAGACCCTCAGCATTGGGGTTTGGGGGTGATGCAGGGCTGGGCTGTCTCACCATGCTCTAGGGTCACTCAGACCCTCAGCAGGAGGGTTTGGGGGCAGACCCTCAGCAGGGAGTTTGGGTCAGACCCTGGGGTTTGGGGTGTGCAGAGCTGGGCTGGCTCACTGTGCTGTGGGTTTTGGGGCAGCCCCTGGATTTTGGGGCAGCCCCTGGGCTTGGGGCCATGCAGGGTCAGGCTGTTTCACTGTGCTGTGGGCTTTGGGGCAGCCCCTGGATTTTGGGGCAGCCCCTGGGCTTGGGGCCATGCAGAGCTGGGCTGGCTCACTGTGCTGTGGGGTTTTGGGGCAGCCCCTGGGGTTTTGGGGCAGCCCCTGGGGTTTTGGGGCCATGCAGGGCCGGGCTGTTTCACTGTGCTGTGGGGTTTGGGGCAGCCCCTGGATTTTGGGGCAGACCCTGGATTTTGGGGCGGTGCAGGGCCGGGCTGTCTCACCCCGCTGTGTCCCCGCAGTGGCCGGGGAGGCCAAGTTCAAGGACATCTCGTGGTTCTCCCCGAACGGGGAGCGGCTCAGCCCCAACCAGCAGCGCATCTCGGTGGTGCGCAACGATGACTTCTCCTCCACGCTCACCATCTACAACGCCAACATCGACGACGCCGGCATCTACAAGTGTGTGGTCAGCAGCCCCGAGGAGGGCGACTCCGAGGCCACGGTCAACGTCAAGATTTTCCGTAAGGCAGCTCCCTCTGGCTCTTTCCTTTCCCCTCATAAGTTCTTTCCTTGCACTCTCGGGCCTTTTCTTGCCCCCCAGCTCTTTCTTGTCCCCCCTGGTTCTTTCCTTGCCCCTCCCGTCCCTTTTCTTGCCCCCCTCCAGCTCTTTCTTTCCTTGGCTCTTTCTTTTCTTGCCTCCCCCGGCCCTTTTCTTTCCCCCTGGTTCTTTCCTTGCCCCCCTGGCTCTTTCCTTGCCCCCCTTGCTCCTTTTTTGCCCCCCCTAGTTCTTTTCTTGCCCCCCTGGCCCTTTCCTTGGCTCTTTCTTTCCTGGACCCCTGGCTCTTTCCTTACCCTCTTGCTTCTTTCTTTCCTTTCCCCCCTGGTTCTTTCCTTTCCCCCTGGTTCTTTCCTTTCTCCCCTGGCTCTTTCCTTGCCCCCTTACTCCTTTCTTGCCCTCCTGGCTCTTTCCTTGCCCATGGGTGAGGCAGGGTTAGGCAGGAAGCTGTTTCACCTTCCTAGGAAAAGGTCTGGAGGGTAGAGGAGGGTGAAGGAAAGGTGTTGAGGTGCTGCCTGGTTTCCTGGTGAGGAGGGGAAGGTGGGAATGGGATGGGCTGGAGGCTCAGGGCATCTCCAGCAGCCCCACAGCTGAAATCTTTCTGAGAGGCAGCAGAGCAAGGAGGGAGAGAAGAGGATGGAGCTCCTGGCAGGGGGAACAGGGACAGGAGCTGATGTGGGTGACACACACACCCCTCTGGTGTGGAGGGGAGAGGGACCCCCAGGTCCAGAGGGTTTGTGAAGAGCCAGCAGCTGCTCCAGCAGAGCTCTGCAGCAGCTTCTCCCTCCCTGCTGGGAGCTGAGCAGTGCCAGGGGGTGTTCAGGGTGGTAACTCAGCCCCCTGTGGGCACAGGGCTGGAAATGGGCGTGCTGTGGGCAGTGCCTTCACTCAGACCTCAATCCTGGAACAAGGAGATCCCTGGGATTTGGGGGTTTCTCTGCTGCCCTCGGGATGGAGGCAGGAGCACAGCTCCAGGTGTGCTGAGAAAGCTGCAGTGACCTTTTCCTTTCCTGTTTTCCAGAAAAGCTGATGTTCAAGAACGCTCCCACCCCTCAGGAGTTCAAGGAGGGGGACGATGCTGTGATCGTGTGTGACGTGGTCAGCTCTCTGCCCCCCACCATCATCTGGAAGCACAAAGGCAGGGATGTCATCCTAAAAAAGGATGGTAAGGGCTTGGTTCTTGTCCACTCTGGGGTCAGGTGTCCACCTCCCTGCCACACAGGGTGCTGGTGGTCACAAGGGATGGGGGAAGCAGCTTTGCCTGACCCGAGGCCGTGGGATGTGGATTCAGTCACCCCAAGTGCTGTGGTTTGCCAGGGGCAGGGCAATCATGTTCCCACTGAAGTGGCCACCAGGCTGTGGCACGAAACCAGCCAAGGAATGCTGGGAAAAAAAATACAGATCAAAGCAGAGCCATCAGACAGAAAAGCTGGATGTTGTGACACCCTCCACCTTCATGAGGGAAAGGGGCTGAAAGCTCTTTGCAGGAACTTTTCCCTTTCTTCCCAAGTGCTCCAGAGGGGCTGGCAGGGGCTCTGACTCCAGCTGAGCAGGTTTCCCACAGCTGGCACACAGGTGGTGAGGCTGGAGCCCTTGGGCAGGGGGGATGAGTTCCAGACTGCTGGCTGGCCATGTGATGGAGTGTAAATGTGTCTGTGGGACACTGCTCTGTCACCTCCCTGAGCTGTGTCAGTGGGACACTGCTCTGTCACCTCCTGGGACACTGCTCTGTCACCTCCCTGAGCTGTGTCAGTGGGACACTGCTCTGTCACCTCCTGGGACACTGCTGTCACCTCCCAGAGCTGTGTCAGTGGACACTGCTCTGTCACCTCCCTGAGCTGTGTCAGTGGGACACTGCTCTGACACCTCCTGGGACACTTGTATCACCTCCCAGAGCTGTGTCATGGGACACTGCTCGGTCAC